GGAAACAAACAAAAAAAGTGGGGGAATCTTTAGATCACCCTAAGACAGAAGTAATAAAGGCCTCTTTAGATCTCCCTAAGGCAGGAGGGTCTAGGAATCTAGGAGCTAAGCGAGCTTGGAACAGAGAGGAATCTGGCAGAATGCAAAAGAGAACTGCTCAGGGCAGCCCCCCTCCCCCAATGAAGAATGACCTCATCCAAAATACCATTAGTGCCAAGATTAAGAAACTCTGTTCTAGAGAAAAATACCATTAAAATACCATTATGTTGCCCATTAAGGCATAAGTTTTTGAGCTCAGAACCCAACTCACTGAGCTAATGGTGTTCAATTATTAGCAGAGCATCCTGTGACCAGACAGTAAGTTCAAAATAATCTAGTTTTCTTTTGAGGAGTAGCCATTTCTGTTTCCTTGATTCCTTCCCTGAAATTATCCAGTGGGAAAATGCCACTCAGAAGAAGGTTCTAGCTTGCTAGCCACAGGGGAAAAGTGCTTCACAATCTGTTTCAGGAAGCAAGGAAAGAGCACGCCCAGAAGCAGAGGTGAAGGCAAATGCAGGATGCTGACAGCCAAAAATATTAACAAAGGTCACAGTCGGGATAGCCTGACAGATTGGGAATCCCGGTAACCATGTGATGGCCTTCAGACATCGAGAATAGGGGCAAACCTCAAGGGGTAAAGTAGCTTATATTTTACAGGCAATAAACTAGATGAAAGATCATGTCTTAAATGATGTGCTTTCAAACACGTGCTACATCGAGATGCTGACAGCATCATTTTTCCAAGAAACAAGCAAATAAATTTAAGTAGCTTCCAAGTTGTAAATATCTGGATGACCAAGGAGCAAGGGAGGCAGAGCCTGGCCAGTGGAAGCGAAAGATTGATGGCTTCCTCTTCACACTCCTGCCTTGATTTTCCCTTGCACAGCTCATTATTCTACACATTAATTTAGCCTTTTCTACTGTACTGAATTAAGAGCTTAAATTCTCTTATCACCCCTGTGGGAATCTTGATTGTTTATTTGTGCATGACAATAATTGTTTTTATCGATCTCCCAAAGTGGAAGGTATAAAAAGGGCTATGGCTGATGGCCAGCTGGCGCGTAGTTAGTGCCGCATGCTTGAGTGACAAATTGCAAGGCAATTTTGGGCCCCAGAGGAGACCCTTTAAGGATTTTTTAAGGCATTTGATAGTTATCACATGTCTTTCTAAGCTGAAAAGCATAAAAATTTTATGTATATCAGGTCAGGCCTTTGGTTGTAGTTTTTAATTGAACCTAAGAAGGTCTACTTGGGTATAATTTATGCTTCCTCATTTCTAATAATGCCCATCAGGCAGCACAAGTGAGTTAGAAAATGGGGCAGCTACAAGAACTCCCAGAGCCACCACCATCCAAGCCAGTCAATTCCTTTAGAGATCCAGTTTACCAAGGAACTTATTCAGAATTCCTGGATTAATCCAGCAGTTACCATCATTCCATTGCAAGCATCATCGTATGGACATTAGCTCTAAATATTTTGAGAAGAAACCACTTTGGTAGCCCCAGCATGTACCAGGGAGGTAGGAAACCTCATGTGATTTCACACACTAAATATATCAGAGGCATCAGGGGAAGAAAATGCAACAGTCTAATTAAGTGCTGTTTGTAGGACAGGGCACTTGGGCAGTATGAGCCTCCCTTGTCTAAATCAAATGCAACATATCTTGTTTGAAGAGCTTTCAAGGTAATTAGCGTGGTCTATCTACCCAGGAACAAAATAAATCAGGTTAGGCCTAAAAGGAATCAGGTATCAGAAATGTGGTGACGTTTCCCAATTAGGTGGTAAGATGGAAAGAACTTTGACTAAATGCCAGACCCTGACGTTCTTGACCCTGTTTTCCCGTGGTAAAGAGAACAGAGACACAGAGAGACGCTACCAGGACAACGTGTCCTCTTGATCCTCTGAGGGCTCTGCTCCAAAGGCAGGACCAGAGTGAGTCAGCAGGGCTCGTTTTACAGAGTAGAGGCCCAGATGTCACCCAAAGCATCCTTCTCTTTGTCCTGGACCTATAATATTATCTTGGTCCTTGACACCAACTCTGAAGGGACCACATAAAAGGAAAGATGACTTGACCTAAAGATTTATTTCTTTCTCACTCATAGTCAACTTCACCCTTAATACTATGGTTGGTTGTATCCTTGGTCTTGAACTACCATCTTAGCACCTCTGAGTAGTAGTGAGAGGGAAACATGAAGTTTTCTCCCCACAGAGCTGAGTGACTACAGCCACTGCCACTGCCAGGTAAAAGACGCAGGCATCTCTGAGTTAGAAACATCCGACTCACATACTACTTGCACTTACCAACAGAGGCCATTACAGTAACTCCCCGAGTTACAAACAGCCAACTGATGTACAACTCACACTTACAAATGGCAGCTCTTGCATGTAATAGGTAAATGTGCTTGCTCCCACTTACAGACAGATTCAACTTAAGAATACACACACATAACCTATCTTGTTCGCATCCCAAGGACCACCTGTATACCTCCCCTCCATTTAGCATCATGTCCATCACACAAGTGAGCACGAAATGTGATCTGACTAATTCACACTTTCACCGGTTACAGCATCCAGCACGCAGGGAGCAGGGGACTGCCCCAAGTTGACAGCTTAATTACAGACTGACTGTAGAGCCTTAAAAGAGAGTGAACAGAGGGTGTCATCACAGAACCACTTGGTTTTAAAACTGGAGCAAACTCAGATACGGCTTACTTCCGCCATCTCGTTTCAGAGACAAGGACACTAGGACCCCAAAGAGGCTAAATAAGTGGCCTACTCCAAAGCCTCATGGTGGAGCAGTGGCAGGGCGGGTGTGGGGATCCACGCGCCCTCAGCTCAGTCTGACTGGCTTTAAAACACCGGCTTGAGCTTTGTGTCACGGTGTTGTCATCAACGGTTTCGACAGGTGCAGCTCCCCCACTAGACCACGTGCTCCTTAAGAAAATATTCATCACCGGCTTCTAGCAGTCAATAGCACATAGCATAAATGTTTGTTGAAAAGTGAAAAAATGGATGAATAAGTTGTTTCCCAGTATATACAAGCAAACGCTATAATTGTAGTGCTATCGGCGAGAGCACGGTCAGCCTAGGATGACCGAGGATGGAGAGGCTAGAAAGAGTAAAAGGCGGACGGAGTCACAAGAGAAAGCAAAGCTGTGCAATTCAGGAGGGATTCTGTGCAGAGACAATGTTTAGACTCAATGTGGGAGCATTTTGTCAAGCCTCTTGCCTCTTCTGATCTCTCCCGATTTTCAAATGAGGGCTTTTTAAGTAGATGGTGCTCTAAGCGGCCCCACCATTGCCGCTCCTGCTCAGGCCCCAGGCCCCAGGAGCGACTGCTAGTTAAGTTGTGTAAAGTATGAAGCTGCTTGTTAGGGTGGCTCGCCTCCCTGAGGGTCTCCCTTTTTGCACTTCCTCCTGAGCCACACTGCTGCTACAGTTCCTATCACAGAGGAAAGCGCAGGGAACTCAAGGCGGCGTGGTTTCTGGAGTATTTTCCACTCACCAGGAGATGCAGAAGAACGGCTACTTAGGTAGTGACGTTTCAGACTCAGGGGCAGCAAATAAGAGAGGGTTGTAACATACGGGCTAAGTTTGTCTCTCCTTGCAAATCTCCCTCACTGTGAGGTTGTGTTGCTCCTGAAATGATGGCATGTTGTAAATAAATTGACACTATGTAGTGCTTGCTTAGAGAAGCCACAGCAGCAAAGGATTCAGGGCTGCTAATAACAGCGCCCTGAAAGCTCGGCACTGGGGATGTCTGTCGACAATAGTGAGCATCGGTGGGGACCACCAGCTGGAGGGCTATGCCCAGAGAGTGGATATCAGGGCCTGAGCGTCAGGTTGTAGAGGGTCCAGTCTAGATGGGAGGCGGGACATTTCAAGCACTGCTGCTCCACAGCTGCTGAACAATTTTGGAGCTATCCACCAGCCCCTATGGAGAGAGTTCTGTGAAGACAGGCAGTCGTCTGTTCTGGATGGGTTAGGTCACCTTGGCAAATGTGGAGATCTAGATTTTCATCAAACAGTTCCTTAAAGTTGGCAGAAGCCCCCATCTCAACAAGCACTGCCTCTGACTACACCTGCACCCTCCCCTCAGTTCCTACATGGCCCAACTCTTGAGCACACCAGGTGTACTGCTATACTTGTGCTTTTGCCCTGAACTACTTTTCTCTCATATGGTCCATATTGGTTCTTTCTACCTTGTTCCTCTCGCCTTTTTCAGATCTTTGTACCTATATCAAAGAGACCTCCCCTCATTGGGTTTTATAACACACCATCTCCAAATCCAATCCTTTAGCCTCCATGCTGAAAGACGTTTTGGCTGTTCTGAGAACTGCTGGATCCCTAGCGTCCAGAAAAATGACTATTGTCACGTTGTAGGAGTTCAATAAAAATCTGTTGAAAGGGTTGGTAACATAGATTTTATGACGAAATAATCTTGGCTTATGAGGCCTGGAAAGCAGTTAAGGAAAACTTTTTAGATAATTTCAAAAACCAAGTTTTTCACCTGCATCCAATTTACACTTAGAAATCTAAGATGCCTTCAAGAAAGTGGTACGTCCGTGCAAGCAAGATAACACTATTATCATTCAGTTCCCATCAGAGCTCCGAGCAACTTTCAGAAAACTCATCCTCTGCTATACAGCACTAATTTGTGTCTTGTGGAAAATTAAATTATTCTTCACCTGAAGGGAGCAGGATTATTTGACTTCAGATCTTTGCCATATGGCTTCTCTTCCCACAGTGTAGCTTTGGGGCTCAGGGTGGGGAGAGCAAGTGTGTTCCTGTGAATTATTCAGCAATGATTCAAGATAAGTGTGCATCTTTGACATGTTGTCAAGTTCCTCGAAGTCTTCTTCCTGATAACGAGGGCTACATTTTTGATAAAAGGCTGCTCATTTCTCACGTGCTTTATTGTTGTTCTTTGTTTGTTGTCGTCTGTTTTTCTGTCCTCCCAGAGTCCAGTCTGGCTCCTACCTCAGCACCGGGTGGTTCACCTTCATTCTGGCCATGGACGCCTGCTACGGCATTCACGTCTACGGGATGATAAATGATACCTACTGCAAGTGAGATCACAGGAAATTATTTTTATGCAGCTCCAATTTTGATATCTTGTCAAAATATCACAATTCATTTCAATACCATAAATCTGAGACACAGATAAGGCGACAATTATTTCCCCGGCGTTCTTTGCTGACATGACATATTATTGTCAGTGTATCAGCTTGTGACTTTTAGGGGTGATAAAAAGAAAAATATTTGCCACAATCTAATGTCAAATGTCAGAAGGAGCACTTTTCCCTTAATCAGTAGCGTATCAGGGACTTGTGGCTTGGAAATACAGAACAAGTTCAGTGGTTATTTAATTTGCAAAAGCGAGCTTGTCCTTTCTGCTGCTCTGATGGTTTGATAGATGGCTACCTACTCAATGGTTATATTTGATCATGAAGGACGAAATGTCCGGAAGCCTCAGACAGCTTAACAAGAATTCCTAGAAATTATATTTCACTAAACATGTGAGTAATCTGCCAGATCCTTATTTAAAATGAGTGTGTTTATCCACAGTATATCCTCGCTAGTGGAATAGTTTCTAATTAGATAATAAAACAAACCCTCCATGCTTCATCCGGGTAATGAAATAGATTTCCTACCAACAATTGGCACAATGTAATTCAGAAACTATTTTAATCATATTGTCAAAATGGTACCTCTCAGCCACAATCTTCATGAACAAATATTTCTACCCTAACTATAAGCATAACAAGAACCCAATTTCTTATTGTGGAAAATCACAAAGTTTTGTCAAGTTCTTCAAGAGGCTACCCACAGTTTGCTTCCATTATACACCATTTCCTCCTTCAAAGGATAGCCGGCCATATGTTGGAATGTAATTGGAGTGATATATAAAATTTATTTGATCTATTAGAGCACTAAGAACCTGGTACATCTTCCTAAAAGCTTTCATGCATAATAGCTTTTAACTGAGTTCATGGACAAAAATCACATAGGGGTTTGCAAGTAAATGCATTTACTGGGCACATAATGGATTCTTGTCAATGAATGCTTTAGTCTTCATCTCAATCTTTCCCTCATTATCTTTTTTTTTTCTTTTCTTTTCTAGGACAGAAGGATATAGAAAAGTCCCCTACCATTACTATGAACAGGGAAGAGATGAGTGTGATGAATATTTTCTTCATGAACACGCCCCATATGGGGGACATAGGTTTATCACTGAAAAGAAAGTATTTGCTAAATGGGCAAAGAAACACAGGATAATATTTACACACCCAAACTGGACAGTGTCTTGATGTCGGTCTTTCAGATCTTGCCACATCATTTGACATGATCATGGTACTCATGAAACCACACCTGTGATGCTGATGCCGTTCACAAGATGACAGTGGTGATACAGACAATAGTGATGGGGCTCACGTTCCTGTACATTCTCAGACACGGACGATGACTCTGCTAGTCATTTAACCTTGGGGTTTTGTGGAGGGTGGTTATGCTCATTATGTTCTTTCTGAAGGTCCAACACTATATACTGCACTTTATAATTCAACTGGAATGGAAATGAAGGCCAGTGACATGACAACTGTGACCTAAGAAATGGGAAGGGTGCCCTATAAGATAGCTGCCCAGAATTGTTAAACAGCAACTAACTCCTAAAAGCCATGAGATTTGGCCTCATGAAGCAAGGTTATTAACTCAGTGGCTTCTTGAACCTGGGCAGCCCTACCATCTTGAAAAATGGTTGATTGTCAAACACTGACCCTAGAAATGTTATCAGGGTACAAGTATCTTACCACAGTTACTAGTTAGCCTGGAGAAGGGAAAGTATCTCTTCCTGATACGCCATCTTCCTTCAGTACTTCTACAACTAAAGCCTCAGGCTATTACCTAATTAACAATGAAGAAATCACGGACAACCTACCCATCAAGATTACTTGACTATCTCAAATAATTAACTCAAAATGGGCCAACTTAGCTAATCTTAAAGAATTTCCTCTCTTACCATCCATTCTTACCTCCCCAAACAATATAACTAAACATGTTCATAGAATGATCTATATTAATGTTTAGTTATTTGGGGTTGATCCCTAAATATTTCAAGAGGCTATTTAACATGTAAGATACCAACTGTAACACTGTAATAACATATACTGTGAAAACATTCCTAAAACATAACCAAAGGGTTCACTAACTCTGCTTCAACATCCAACGACGCGAACACACGAGTGCTTTTTAAAATCATGAAACAGGGAAAGCAAAGCATATTTTTACATCAACTTGTATCCTACCATATTTCATAGTGTAGATTTGTATATTCAAGTTTCTATTTTATAGGCCCAAGGTGCATCTCTCTATCCATCACATTATCATTACCAAGTGCCATGCTATAGATACTTCCTCTCCAAGTATTAGACATGGAGAGGAAGTGATTCCTCGTATTAAATCTGACCAGAGCTTTTGCCTTCTAGGGATTTGAATTTCCCCATAGCATGTCAGTTGTTAGACCATAATAACGACAACAATAATGACCTTAATGTCCAAAGTGCTTTGTCATTTACAGTCCTCTCTCATCTGCTAGACCCTGTGATGCCCATGACTGCCTCACTGGACTATTTATTGCCAGTTCAGTCTGCCATCTCTTTAGCAGATGATGTGTGTAATGTGTTAATTGTTCTGATATCTCCGAGATCCCTCTACTTGCTAATATTTGTATAGAATAGCATTTATGTAGACTAGTAATCAACTTATTTCAGTGCCAAATACACCATGTTATATCAGGATTATGTAAAAAGTACCACACAGGATGGTCTTGGTCATATACTAGGACCCTCGTGAACTTAACTAGAGTTGACTTTTTAAAAAACAGTCCTAAGCTAGATGTAGAGATAGATTTCCTTTTTTTTTTTAATGGCTCTATATAGGTGGGGAAAAAGATGAAGAAGCAGTGACAGCAGGAAGGAATGAAAGTAGAGAAATAATTTTCTGTCCGAGGCTTGAGACAATTCTGTTGTCCGTGAACTTAGTGAGCATTGAATATTAAAGAGTTGATTTGCTGAGAGAGTAGCTGTGAGTTCAAAAACATCCTTGTAGAATGATCCAGAAAACAAAAGCTAGGGTCAAAAATGTTTTGGAAGCTAGAAGTAATGATGCATTTCGCTTCACAAGTACTTTGTTTGTCTTCAGTGGTACTGAGTATCGTGACAAGTCATTATTAAAACATACCATCTTATGTAAAACCCTCTTCCCTGCTCTATTCCACCATTTTGATACCTCGATAGTCATATCTATTCCCGAGCCCCAGTTCTATCATTGGAAGGGGTTGTTATTCTTTTGTTGTTTCCTTATGTGATTTTCAGTTTGATGTATGTTAGTTTAATTTTTGAGCTAATGATGGATAAACATGCCTCACTCAAGAAAAATAGATACAAATGCTAAAATGATGATATAGACTGTTTTTCCTCCTGTTGTGATACAGATATTCCACTTTTAAATAAAAAAGAATCCTTGATTAATCAGGATGCTTTGGGCAATGACATATCCTGATTTACTGAGTTTTCTACTAAATGAAGGGTCATCACTCTTTGTTTTAGCCCTTACTGCTGAGAAACTTTTGAAAACTTGCTTGTTTTCCTGCCTCACTGTAGCTTTCCCTCACAGAGACCTTCATGATCTCTTCTATCCCTCATTCCATGGTAGCGGGTGTATGTGAAATAGGGAGCATGTGGATTTATATGGGCAGTGATTTTCTTGAAGGAATGGGGATGGACCATTTTCCCCCCTCTCTTCTCCTTTCCCCTCCCCTTTTCTTTTTCTTTATTTTCTTCTTAACTAAACTCCTGCCCCATAGTTCATATTGTTGTTGTTTTGTGTCTCTTTTTAAAAGTCGGAAACAAACCAGGAAAAAAAAAAAAACACAATAGTTTTCCCCCCATTGGAAACTCAAATAAATAATTTCCAGTATAATTAGCATTTTGATGGAATCTCACAACATTTTTCTAGGTAGTTTAGTTTTCTCTGTTTCAATTTTCTGTTCCTTCTTATTCCAGCTTCCTAATTCTAGTGGAAATGCAAGGTCTAATTTCTCCCATGTTGAGAAGAAAATTTCCATCTAAGATCTGTTAACAGAGGAGCTTGGCAAAAGAGTAATTCAGGGGGAGTATTTTGTCGTGCAAATTTCTAATCAATTCCATAGATTCTGGTCAACTGAAAAAGATTTTAACCAGCATCTAAACACTGGAAAATTTAACTGAACTCACTTATCACTGATACGTATCCAAGAAGTTAATTAAAATTACCCGCTAAAAATAAAAGTATTTCAATAGCAGGAAGCAAATGAACTATAGAAATCAGCATAAAAACTTACAAGCTAAAAATAATAGAATAAATATTATTTTGAAGTCTGTAGAAGTCTTTAAAAGGTAAGGAAATTGAAAAAGCCTTTTCAACTGAATGCTTGAATTCTTTCTAAATTAACCAAGTGACAAGCGGTAATGATTTACATTGTTATGATGATAATGTGAATAAGAAGCTTTTCAGAATTTCTATCAAATCTATCAAAGAAATAGCAAATTGAGGGGATGTTTGTATGTATACACATAGCGTTCATTTGTGTATGTATATACACACACACATATACACACATATACTATATATCTCTATGTAAAGGCATACATGTAATCCTATATTCTTCGCTGGTGTGTGTGTGAATCACAGAAAATCCCATTTTAGACTCCATCTGAAATTTGTTAGGTTTCATTTTGAATCCTGATGAAGAAAGCAAAAATTCAAATTAAATGGACTGATTGCTGTGAGTACATGAAATCATATTCAATATCTGGCCAGAAAAAATAAAGCTAGAGAAGCCTCTAAATCTAGAACTGAGAACACAATTAGGTGGCACAGTTGTCACAAATCAGACTTGTAAGTATAGCAATCTGTAGGCTCTGCTGATTGCGGCTCAGCTAAAGTCACATTGAAAACCATTGCATCAAGCTTCATTCATGCAGAAGTAAATGAACATTGGTCCTCTTATTCAAATAAGCCTGTCTTTAGCATAAGCAAAATCCAGATTTGCATGATTTCTATTATATAGCTATAGAACTGTGACCATTGAGAAAAAAGAAATTATATCAGGAGATTGCTCTTGGAGGATGTGGTGTGAGTCAGCTGAGGTGGAAACAAGTCTCAGGATGGGGAACTGCTGGCCCTCCCAGAACAAAGTCCTAAGACAAGCATCAGTCACTTAGAAAAGAGACAGCACTCAAGTACTTCACCTGGTGGCGTTAATTGCATATTATTTATAAGCTCCGTTTAATTTTGATAAGAAAATATTATGTAATCAGATGGTTTACTCTTTTAAAACAGCATGCCCATCTAGCTTTCCACATGGCATGTCGCATGCAGAGAATAGACCACGCTGCCCAGTGTCAGTTATTTGCATGTCTTAGCACAACAAATACTTTACGTTCCTGGAGTCAGCAGGGAAGAAAATGTTTTCCTTAATGGGAAGACTTAAAAGGCAAGACCCCATCATTTACCAGTGTATACAGGCACGGAGAGTGAAGGAGCCCATGCTGGCCTTCGTACAGAGACTAGACTTTGAGCTGAAAGGGACTTTCAGACCAGCCAATCCAACCTCTGTGCCCTGAAGTCAAGGAAACAGCCCTAGGGAGGTCAAGTGACTTGCCATAAAATGGGACTCCTGGCAGGATTCAGACTCAGATTCCTGTCTCGTGTCTTCTGCTTTTAGTACGGAATAATAGTAGCTAGAAAAAATGCAGAAATGACTTACTAAGATAGTCTATTCGTGGAAACCAAGGATTCCAATCAGTGCTGTGTCTACTCAGGATTAGAAAAATGCCAACCCTGCAGCATAGAAATCTTCACATAACTGAAAGAACATATCCCAACGATTGCCTATATTTTTTTCCCTTGTGTCCACCAATATTGCTAAGACTAGACCATCTCCTATTATCCTGAAATTCTAGTACCAGTTTAAAGAATATTCAGGTAAGTTTCTTACTTCCTCTTTGTTAACAACAATGATCCAGCCATTGTTACACCAAGAGCTGTGAGTGTCGGAGGTCACCTATGAAACTGGGAGGCTCTGCTATTACCTTGTCCCCGGAGCTGAAGTGTCTTCGTCTTCAAACCCATTCAGCTGCCCGGGTGAATGAAATAAACCATCAGTCCCAATACCACCCCTTGGTTTCATACTCCTCTCTGCACTGCCCATGATCTCTGTACCCCCCAGAAGGTCTATAACAGCCCCAAGGGTCCCACAAAATTCAATCAG